CCCATACGCACACATACGCACACACACACACACTAATGAACAAAGACACTTAACTCACTCACAGCCGCACTTGATGAAAAAGACACCGCACCCACAGACAGAGAAATGTGTCAGAACTCTCTGCCGGGCAGCAGTTTGGGCGCCACGAGGGTCCACAGGTACATCAGGAGGACCAGCCAGACGCCAGCCATCTGCACCCAGAACTGGGTCCACCCAGTGTTGATCTCACTGCACCCAACCAATGAATGGACACAGAAAGAGCGACACAGAGAGAGCGTCATTTCCCTCGCCCCGTGTGTCTCTCCCTCCCTCTGTGTGTGTGTGTGTGTGTGTGTGGCTGACCGTACCGAGTGTCGGTGGACATCCAGTTGCTGCCCACCATGCACAGGTAGAACGTCGCTGTCAGCATCATGAAGTGGAACCACCTGATCCCCAGCACATCCGCAGGAGACGCCTGCTCGTCCCGGTACGTGTCGGGCGGCGCGTCATCCGATGAAGACGACGCATTGCCGGCGGCCGTCTCCCCCTCTTCCATCGCTGAAGTCGCCTCACCCTGCACATGGATCACACAGAGACATCATGCATTGGTTTCCCGCGTTTTCGGCTGCTGGTTACCAACCGGTTTTGGTTGTGTGGCGACGGCTGACACTCGCTCATGCTCGACGGCCTCCCTCTTCTCGACATGGAAAATATCAGGGCTGTTGGCGAGCGACGAACTGACACAGACAGACAGACAGACGCGCAGGTAGGCAAAGTCACACACATTGGCTGCGGGGCATCCCTCGTTGCCTATGGCAGGCTCACCTCGTCCATCCCAGGGCAATCGCTGCGATGATCAGACCGAAAAAGAGCTTCGCCACCGAGTCGGCCTCTTGCCTGTGGATGGGGGAGCTCATGAGGGCGAACCACGTCATGAAGGTCACGTTGGCCACAACAACCGAACTCGTCAGCATAGCTCCGTGTCCGCAGAAGTCGGTGATGGAGAGCACCAGCAGGGCGATGCCGCCGATGAGCGACAGGGACAGCAGCCCGTGGCTCAGGGGGTCGTTGTAGTGCACGTACATGACGATCGTCTGATGGACGCAGGAAGCGAAGCACAATGTGTGTGTGGGAGGCAAGCAACACGTGTGTGTGTGCAGGTGTGCCGTGTCTCACCCCTGTCCATGACCCCACAAGCAAGATGACCGAACACACGACAACGGCTGAATGAACAGCGGAAAGAAAGCACCAAAAACGAAGAAAGAAACGGTCGGACAGATCGCTGGCTGTGTATGGCTGTGTGTGTGTGTGTGTGTGCGTACCAATGAGCCAGTTGCGGTTGTCGTCCTCCTCTGCCTTGGACACCCATGACTCGTTCCACGAGTAGGCAAAGTCAATCAGAGCCATCCACTGAATGGCGCACACACACACACACACAAACATGAAGCACCACACCTTCAGTGGTCTGTCTGTCTGTGTGTACCTGAGCGATGATGAAGAGAAGAGCGACGAACAGCGACAGCCACGCGTACCCTTCCTGCGACAGACAAACACAAGCAACAGCATCGAGAATGGCTGTTTGTTTGGTCGCTGGTTGGTTTGTTGGTTCCTTTGGCTCACGAAAAAGTAGTTTGGCACCCACAGCATGGCGAAAGACATCAACGGGATGAACACAAACTTGAGCACAAACATCGACCCTGCAAAACGACACGCGACACATAATGGCATCCGCTGGTGCCTGTCTGTCTTGTCTGTCTGTCTGTCTGTCTGTCCGTGTGCTTACTGTGTGATTTGGTCGCGAAGGTGCCTCCGATGAGTGAGGTGAGGAACATGATCACGAACAGGCATGACGCCGAGAAAGCAACCCTGTAGGCAGCGTGGTTCCGAAAACAAGCCTCGTCACAATCACGGGCTGCACACACACATACACACACACACACACACACACACACAACAGCGCTCCATCTCTCTCTCTCTCTCTCTCTGTGTGTGTGTGTGTGTGTGTGTGTGTATGTGTGTGCAGACACGCCTACTTATTTGTATGCCCGGCCAGCTCTTGAGCGACTCTCGTGCGTCAGGCACCCAGTACCGCGCCACGACAGCCAACACGGCTGTGAACACCATGAGGACGAAGTACAGCACCTTGGCCACATTCTTGCTCCTCGTTGAACCGCTCCCCTGTGACACACACACACACACAGGGAAGACATCAGCACACAGAGGGAGATCTGTTGGCTGTTGGCTTGTATAGGCTCACCAGTGCCTTGATCAGACAGGTAGACACGGCTGACCCCACACACGCGGCACAGCAAGAGCCACACGCACCAAACACCGCTCCCATCGCGGCACCAGACCCTAAGCTCACGAGTTGGCACCTGACCTTAGACAGCTGCCTTCTCTCTTATCTGCTCCCGTTCCCGGAATCCGGTTTTTCAAGTCTTCGAGCCAAGCTCGCAGAGCATGTTGAGCTCGCAAAGAGGATCACAGGAAGGGAGCTCGAGTGGCCCATCAGTGCACTGGTACGAAACAGCAGTACAAGAAACACAGTGCAGACAGATCTGTGACTCTCTGATGTGTGCGCATGTGTGCAGCCATCAGTCATGAGTGACGTGGTTGACGTCGGGCTGCTGGAGTTCAGCCGCAATGTGTTGGACGACGCCTCCCGTCCGGGGGAGTATTTCTACGAGCTCAACGCGTTGGTGCCCGACCGTCCCAGAGAGCGCATCTATCTGCCACTCGAGATCTGCCGCACGAGCGTCAACTTCTACACCAAGGACAGAAACGGGCGCAGATCACTGCTGCCCAAGGGCGTCCTGCCGCATGAGAAGTAAGAGGACACTTCACCGACAAACAATGGGCTCTTATCGTGCTTGTGTGTGTGTGTGTGTGTGTGTCGGTCAGTGTGGGTGTGGTCAGTGGCGGCGGCGCCACCCTGCGTCAGCGGCAAGAGGGCTCGTCGTCAGCCGCCAACAGCAACGGCAATGGCCTCATTCGCTACCCATCTGGCGCCCGCCATCGAGTGGTGCAGGAGGGCGCCGGCAGAGTGCCGACACCCGAGGACCCCGTCAAGGTCGACCTCATCTCGTGGTTTGATGCATTCGACGGCCGGGAGAAATGGGCCGATATCCGTGGGGAGGTGTATCGTGTGTCTGATCTGTATGAGTGTGAGCGTGAGGCGGTGCTGTCGATGCGGGAGGGGGAGGTCAGGCAAATCATAGCGCCAGGAGGATATGGCCCCTACATTGAGCTGCGTTTGATCAGCATAGAGTAGGGGAGAGCAACCACACACACACATGGGGGGCGGCTGTGTGTGTCACACACTCATGTGTGCGGCCGGGGGCTCCTCTCTCGTCGCCTGGCTGAATGTTTGCCTGTCGGTTTTGAGCAAGGTGGTGTGTGGTGCATTGTGCAACGTTGAGCAGGCACACAGAGTCTTGGCGTTGTCTGTCTGTCTGTCTGTCTGTCTGCTTGTCGTGAGTGGGTGAGTGAGTGCTCTGTGCGTGGCTTGGGTGGTTTATCTGTCAGCCGGTCGGACACTCACAGCCTCTTTCTTTTGTATGCTTGTATGCGTGTGTGTCTGTATGTATGTCTGTATGTCTGTGTGTCTGTGTGTCTGTGCCCGGTGTGTGGTGTGACGACAGAGGGCAGCAGAAGGGGCCTTTTTTCCCTTCCTGTCGCGGTCAGTCGCCGAATAGAGCGACACATGTGTGAGAGACCCTGTCTGATGCTGCGTGTGCTTCCTCTATTTATTCCGTTCCTGCGTGTGTCTGTGTGTGAGCGAGAGACCTCATTGCAATGCGACCGAGTTGGTGAACGAATGAATTCACTTGGCAACGTATCTGGTCCGTTTGCCCTCCCCTCTCTCTTGAAACACTCGCAGCCAGCCGTCCAGCAGCCACCCAAACACACATACATTCGCGTGCTCTCCATGGATGCGACAACAGCCAGACGAGCCACACGAAGAAGAAGGAGGGTCGAGCATATAGGCATGTGTGTGTGTGTGTGTGTGTGTGTCTGTGTGTGACTTTGTGGGTCGTGTGTGCCGGCGAGCCGGCCACGGAGGCAGCCCTCTCCCGATCCCTCTATTCTCTTTCGGTGTGACATGGCAGCCAGCCAATCAGCCTATGGACAGCGCACACGCAGCCAAAAACGACACACAGGCAAAACACATTGATGTGAACACTCATGGGGTCATGCACGAAACAAATCGGCCAGCCAGAGAGGACGCCATCCAGCCAGCCATCCAGCGGAGGATCGGACGCACACACAGAGCATAGAAGGCGCGGAGACAGGTGAGAGGGGGGGGGGGGGGG